TCATTTCAAGATTACTTTTTTCCACATTTCAATTTATAGAAAGTGTTTTGTATTTTTTTCAATTTAGAAAACTTGATTCTTTGTTTGCAACAATAATGGAACAAAGCTCACTCCATATATTTAGGTCTGGACTTTAACTAGGCCATTCTAAAACATATGAAGGCTATGATTATTGTTTTTATCCTGTATTTAACTCCACCTAGCTTCTGGTCAGCTCTGACCACCTTACCCCTGCCTTTTCAACAATAGCATCCCCACAGCATGATTCTGCCACAACCATGCCTCACTGTAGGGATGTAGGTTAAGGTGATGTTTAGTGTTAGGTTTCCAATGTACATTAGTTAGCAATGCCAAAAAAATCACTTACTTTTATCTGACTAGAACTTGGTCTTGATCTGGTTTTCTACCGACAGACCACTTTGTGGATTTTATCATAGCAATGATTTCCTTTTTCCACTATACCATGAGGGCCAGATTTGTTAACTGTACAGCTAATGGATGTCTTGTTAACGAATTCTCTTACCTGAGCTGTGTAGCTCTGCAGCTCCTCCAGAGAAGCTGCTTCTCTTAAAAATGCTTACATCTGTCCAGTTTGCTGCTAGCTATGTTTTATTAGGTTCATATTTATTTTCTGATTATGAAGGGAAAACATTAACAAAGTTAGCATTTCCCTTATATTTCAGCTGTGTATCCGTGGTTTTGGTTGCGTTGTCACTTAAGTTCTCTAACAGACTTCTTAGCCTTAACAAAATAGCTGGATTAACACACGTGGCTCATGTTTAAGCTCATGTTGGTCTAGTGGTTAGAGCAGTAAGCTTATGAAGGTTGCAAGTACCCCACAGCCTGCACTCTGGGTCCCTGAGCTGGACCCTAAACCCCTGATTGCTCCCCAGGCTTCAATTATTATTACTTGATTTAACGTAAGGGTATATGACTAAAGAGGGTAAATTGTAATTTCATGCTACATTGTTCAGATTTGAAAGATATGCTGTATTTTTTTTAGATTAGATTAGATTAAACTTTATTGTCATTACACAGGTACAGGTTCAAGGCAACGACATGCAGTTTAGGTCTAACCAGAAGTGCAATAGCAGCAAGTGCAGGATAAATAATGGTTCCATAAATACAAGACATGGGTTTCTACTGAATAAGTATAGAGATCAATACC